CAATGCTATAATAGCAATATGCTTTAATAACTTTCCATCAGGCAGTCTGTATAACGTGGTTACAGAGATATAGACGGTCATGACCCATTCTACAATGGCATAATGGCATGCCCGAGATTCAATCATGTTGCATATATAACTAGTAGTTTGCTCAGTTCTGTTGCTGAGTCATCTCACATTGTCTGAATGGGCCATATTTTGTTTATCCATTCAGTTGATGATGGATATTTGTGTGTGTCTCCAGGTTGATGCTACTTTAAAATATTTGCCACAAGTTTTTGTATAGATATATTTTTATTTCTCCTGGATAGAATACCCAGAAATAAAATCAATGGCTTTTTGGTAATTTCTCAACAGTTTTCGTAAGTGGCTATCCTATTTAGTATTCACACTTAAAATGTGTAAAAGTTCCAAATTGTGCCTAAGATTTATTATTGTAAGTCCATTTGATTTTAGCCATTCTTGTGTGTGTGGTATATAATTTTGGTTTTAATTGTCATTTCCTTGATATTGATTGGGATTTGGTAAACTGTTACTTGAAGGACAAACCTAGACCAATACCTTACTTTTGCACTTCTGTGACAGAGTTGATTAGTCGTGGTAGAGAACTCTGGATTGCCAACTCTGAAATACTTGCTACGTGATCTCTGATGGAAAATCACCTGATGACCATGATGTTGAGCATCTTTTCATGTGCTTCTTGGTCACCATATGTTGCTTTTAGTGAAAAATCTATTCAAGTGCATTCATTCAAATCCATTTTCCCTTGTTTTGTTGTTTTATTGAATAGAAAGAATATATATTCTGGGTACAATTCCTTCAAAAGATTTATCTTTTGCAAATATTTTCTACCCGTCTGTTCAGTCTGTTGTTTGCCTTTTTTTTTTTTTCTGGTTCTTTGAAATTTCAAAATTTTAAAAATTTGGTCAAATCTGTGTCAATTTTTTAAACCTATACTTCATATAACATATCAAAATTGATGGGAATTGATTTAATTAAGTGTCTTAGAAAATTTTGATATTTGTATAATAGCATAAGTCGCTGAGCAAGTAGAGGTTGGGACTGTAAAATTTGCACAGAACACATTACATACTATGGGTAAGAATAGGGTTATACTTTTAATTCTGAAATGACTCATTATTTTATAAATATTTTTAAAATATATTTTTTAGTTGTGGATGGACACAATACCTTTATTTTATTTATTTATTTTTATGTGGTGCTGAGGATGGAACCCAGGGCCTCACACATGCTAGGCAAGTGCTTTACCTCTGAGCTCAAGCTCCAGCCCATGACTGTTTTATTGACATCAGTATTACTGCTTTTCTTTCACTTAATATCCTAAGGAAATTAATTCTATATCTGATTTACTTCATGCCCAAACTTGCTATTTACAGTATTTCTAGTTTCTTCATTAATGTTTTAAAACATGGAGACATATAAAGCCAAATTAATTATTGTTTGTATATTAATAAATTCTTTACTTTTAGAATAGTTTTAATATTTTGCACTTTTTTCTCTTGTAGTAATTTTATCATCTTGACCAACTTGATATCAACAATTTAGAACATGTTCTGAAACATTGTGGAAAGTATAAGATAATCTTAAGAGAGATCAAACATGAAAAAAATCCCTCCTACTGAATATACTTTAATGGTGATTCCTTTCTCACAAGTCCATGACTGGATGCCCACGACAGTTTAGCTGGCTTCACTAAGTACCCTGTGTTTGGGCTGTTTCTTTACAGAACTTGACTGGAACTGACCACAGCTTCTCTGAAACAATAGCAACCTGCCCACTCTGGTTGATTCAGAGGGATATCTTGAATTTACAATGCTATTTTTAAAAACCTGTTTCCAAACCCACCCCTTCTGACCTACTCACTGTTTTTAATGCTGCAGGGCATATATTTACTTCCAAAAATGAAAAGTGGATTGATTCTAATTTTGTTTTGAAAGACTTTTCTTTTAGAATTTCACAACATTCTTGGAAATATTTAGAGATACCCTAGGGTGTTTGTTGCAAACAGAGGATTAGAAACCATTGTCACAGAGCCAAGATTCTACTTTGCCAATGTGCAGTTCCCTCCCCTCCACGAAGGCAAATTAGTGTTGCTTTTACACAATGCTTGCATTTATTTTTTATTTTTATTTCTCACATCTGTTGCCATACATGCTTACTTCTCTTTACTCCTGGACTTTCCCAGGTAACATATATGCTACTTTACTTACAAATGTTATACTAGCTAGGCTTGCAATACATTGTATGATTTTCTATTGTCTTTACCTAAAGTCACTCAGCAGAGTTCCAACTACTAAAAACTATTGAAAGATAACTGTCATTACATGACTCAGGTTCCAAGCCATTAAACCAGAATTATTAAAAATAGATATAAAAGTATTATTTAAAGATTAGAAATTAATTTTGGAGGTACATAGATATAGCCCCCCAATATTGGAGAAATTGTCAAAAATTGTCAAATGTCACTAAATATTTCAAATTTTCATTTGAAGAAACACTCAACAAACTTATTTGGAATAAAAGGGAAAAAATCTTGCTTAATCATTTTACTAACCACTGAAAGGAGCAATGAGGTAAGAACCAGATGAGTAAAGGGATGTAGAGAAGGCAAACCAAACATAGAGGGAATCTGTCCTGGGTGAACAGTGTGAGCCAAGGTGGAGAGCCAGGACCAAATATGTACTACATAAAGCAAGAAGATTATACTGGCCAAAACCAAATGAGCTTTGGTAAGAAGTTATAATAGGAGAAATAATGTCTGGTAAGGTAACAAGGGACATGACTTCCTAATTTTAAATAAAGAATTGGATGATGATCTTGAAGTATAAAGTTGGTGATACTGTAGTGAAGTGAGATTTGTCTACCTCTCTTTTTTTTTCAGGACATTTTTAAAGTTTAGTTCTAGATAGTAGTATGAATCCATTTATGTAACTGTATTTATTAAGGCTGCCCAGACTGATTTTGGTTGAAGCAGAATAAACTCAGTTATGAAACCTTGGGGAACTAGTGTTGTATAGATGTGGTGTTTGGTATTTATACAATATAAAACTTCAATTAATGAGAAATAGAATACGAATTGTTAAATTGGTAAATGCAGTCTTTCCAATAGGCAAGATATTTTCAAAATAGTAAATCTGTGGATAATAAAATAATTCAGTCTTGCAATCCTAACCTCGAGGGTCAGGCATGTTTTGGAATTCACAAATTTGAGGCATTTTAGAAAAGTATTAGACCAAATGTTATATAACCTCTTTAGTGAGTTCTTTCCCAGTAAGCACCACTTAACTAAGCACATTTCCACAGTGAAGCATGTCAATAGTTATACTGAGCAGGCTCAGAGACAGACGAAATGGATTCAGGATGGTTCAGAGTTTTGTTGCCAAATTTGTTTGAGATGAACTTGGGGGGGAAAAAAACATACAAAGGTTTTTGGATTTCGGAATGATGGCTAAAGAACTATGGCTAAAGGATGGCTAGGCAATCATGGAACAACTGCTATGTGCCAGCTTTAAGTTTGTACCATTTCCCCTCATCTTTGTAAATAACATAGCAAGAATGGTGGCTGTTATCCATTGTTTACAAAGCAGGAGGCTTAGGTACAAGCTTGTCCAGGGAGTTGCCAGAGTGATGAGTTAACCATTATCTCATAGTGATGATAACAGTTGGATTTGAACCCTGTTCCTTCTGGCTCCAAAGACAATGTTGTTTCCTTACTGTCTGGTCAAGACCTTTAGTTAGTGTGATTATCTGTTCCTATTGCATCATTGGTTTAAAAAAAAAATGTCTTGAGAATTGAAGTAATGTCTCCCTTCTCACCTTTCACAGTCTCTCTGGGAAAGTTGGTCCAATTGTCACTGATAATCTAATGACACTCAGTTGAGTCTGTACCCCAGTCCTGAGCATCACACTTAGATACTCAACTCCCTGTTGGGCGTCTCCATGTAATTGTCTCATTGACACAGTGAGCTCCCAATGGAATTTGTCCACTTTCTCCTTAACCATTTTCTTCCTTCCAGCATTCCCTAATTTACCACCTTTGCCACCAGAAACCTTCCTTCTCCTCTCCCTTTCCAACTTTATCCATGACCAATTCCTGTAGCTGTGGTGTTAGAAAGCAGAACATAAAGAGCTAAAGGTTTTCAAAGTGTAATAATTCAGAGTTTTTTTGTTGTTGTTGTTGTTGTTTGTTTTTTGTTAGTGGTGGGGAGATTAGTACCAGGGATTGAACCTGAGGGCACTCAACTCTTAACCCACATCCCCAGCCCTTTGTATTTTTTATTTTGAGGCAGGGTCTCACTAAGTTTCTTAAGGCCTTGCTAAGTTGCTGAGTCTGGCTTTGAACTTGCAATCCTCCTGCCTAAGCCTCCCAAACTGCTGGGATTATAGGTGTGCTTCACTGTGCCTGGCAGTAATTCAGTTTTACCAATAACGAGATCCAGGTCCTTTCACTATGAGGTGAAACAGAAAGCCTAAATTCTATTACCTGCTTGATAATAAACTACCAAGTATTGAAACCACACAACATTACTTTTCATTCTCAGCTGTTTTTTATGGTATTAAGTCCATTTTCCTCATTGCTATTTAAAAAATTATTATTTAATTTTGTAATACTTGAGACTGAACCTGAAGGTACTTTGCCACAGAGCTACATCCCCAGCCCTGTTAATTTTATTCTAAGCCTGAGTCTCAATAAACTGCTCAGGCTGGCCTCCAGTGTGGAATTCTGCTTTAGCCTTTCTCATTGTTGGGATTACATGTGTGTGCCACCATGCTGGGCTTATTGAAGTCCATTTTTTTAAATATCAAAATTGGCTACATTTTGGGCACATTTGGGCATGTCTGCTATGAGCCTTGCAAAGTTGAGAACATACTTTCCCAGAACAATGCTCTAGCAACTAACCCTTGCTGCAAATTTTGGTGGGATACAAAACAGGTAAAGTAACAACCACATATTTTTGTTTGTTTGTTTCCATCATTAGGCAAAAAGCCAAGCCTTAAAGTCCACATCAATACCACCAGTGACTCCATCCTCTTGAAGTTCCTACGTCCAAATCCAAATGTAAAGCTTGAAGGATTTCTGCTGGGATATGGCAGCAACGTATCTCCAAACCAGTACTTCCCTCTTCCCACTGAAGGGAAATACACAGAAGCTGTAGTTGGTAAGGTATTTGGGGATCAGGCTCAGAAAAAAGGGAGGTAATGGTTGTAACAAAATCTTGAGATTTGTGTATCCATTTGTTCTACATCCTTGACTGGACCAAATGCTAGAATCACAAATCATCTTCATAATTGTTGCAACCCATAGCACAATTCTTTATATTAAAAATTTTACTGCATGAGAAAATAATAATTATCTTTATTGACATTATACCTGTAATCCCTCCCACATAGCTTAATGCATAAGGGAAAAAATTAGCTGAAATAACTAGACTTATTCCTATATAATGTAATTTATTTACATAGTCTAACTTGCCTTATGCTGTCTTTCCTCCCTTCTGGTAGAAGGTAACAGCCACAACTTTTTAAGTGTTTCTTTATAAAAGGCTACCTTTAAAAAGAAAAAAGTATTGCATATTTTAAAATTTAGCATATTTCAGACAAAAAAAAATGAAAGTTTTTCTATATATTATGAAATTGTATATATCTTTGAAAATATTTTAATCGCCTCCAGATGCAATTTGAGCATGTGGGTCACCTTCAAGACTTCTCCAGAAATAAATTATTTGCAAATAAAATCCCTTTAATTTTTTTTTTAAAAGAGGCTCTCTGTTGTGAATACTTTGAAAATCCATGATGAGATTTATATTTTGTTCCACTGCTAGGTTTGTTGCTTAAGAGGCTTTCTATGAACTTCAGAAGTTCAATGCTATAAGTTCAACCACTTTATACCAGCTCTGGAATCTACACATATATGCAGAGAATGTTGAAGATGAATCTGTTTTGTCCAGCTTCTTTTTTCTCCTAGAGAAGTCTCTATTGTATTTGAAAAACAAGCAAGAGGATAATACTGTCAGTTAAACATGTAGACTAGATTTTACATAAGATAATCACTTCAAAGCAAATCTGCTACTTTTTAATCAAAAATTTGTGAGAATTAGCACTTTGGAAAAAATACAATAATACTAATCTTTTCACATGAACCATAAATAATTTGAATGTTTGCAAATATTTCCCACTCCATTCATGCAAAAGATGTAGGCTCAACTTCACACAAAAGCACCAGAAGCACTCTCTACTCAGCACTAGAAGTCACATTTCACTTATGATAGACTTTTATTTGATTGTGTAAATTGGGAATTTGGTCAATTGAAAACTTACTTTCTATATCAGATGAATTCAATCTTAAAGTAATAGGAGTCAAATTACTAATAAGAATATGTGTATGTGCAGAAAAATAAAATTTCTAGCATGAATATTTTAATCTTTCACACTTTCAATAATAAAGACTGATCAAATGAACTAGGAAATTTTTATTTATTTACAGTTGCTTTCATCCTTTAAATTTTTTATCATAGAAAATTTCAAACATAGGAGAGAGCATCTTGTGATGAGCCCTTAAGTTTCATCATGCAGCTTGAATACATACTACTGATTTGCTAATCTTGTTCTATGTATTCTTTCATACAAACATTTTTTTCTTTTTGGCTGGTGTATTTTAAAGCATATTCAGACATTTCATTTTAATCTGAAAGTGCTTCATTATGCATCTCTAATCATTGAAACATATTTTAATAGTGTCATGCCTTTATTATAATAACATTTTATACCTAGTTCATACTTAAATTTCTCTGTTGATCTTAAAACTAGCTTTTCAGGGTCGATTTATTGGAATCAGGATTAAACAAGGCCTGTGTGTTACATTTGATCATGTCTCTTAAGTTTCTTCCTTTTCTTTTGATTTCTAGAGAAATTTGGTGGTTTAGCATATAGAATTCCACATTCTTTAATTGGTAGCTCCTATTCTGGATTTTTTGAACTACTTCCTTTATCCCTGTGTTTTCTATGAAAAGATAATCGGATCTGGGGGCTGTTTTAGATTTGGGTTTTATTTGGAGGTGAGAAATACTAGTTTATAAAGTGGTACTATGTGATTCCTAGGGACTCACAAGAAGAGGTACATAATGGCTGTCTGTCCCACTTCCTGACCCTAAGACTGTTTGGTGTGCATGTTTAGACGTTCTATTCTGATTTATCTATTTTAAAATTATTTTGAGTTTTAATATCTGATGATGATCTTTGCTCAGATCCATTATATTATACAAGGGTTGTAAAATGACAATTTTCTAACTCTAGCATTCCTTATGCCTTTTTAAGCTGATGATAAAGAAGATTTTTCTCTCTTCTGTCATCTACTTTTTCATTTCCTTTGTATGTTTTTAGGGCAAATGGCATACAATTCTCATTGCTATGAGTTGGTTCCCTGGTAACCTCCAGTGATCACTAATAATATAGTTCATTTAGGATCAATAAGAATGTATTGATTTTTTAATATATTGATAGGTTTTTTAAAATCAATATATCACTTCTCCATCTCCTGAGATTCTTCTCAATGACTAGCCTGACAATGGTCATTTATTTACTCTGGGAAATATTAAACTATGACTTTCTTAAAGTCAAGGTTTATGTCATATTCTCTGGTTATTCACATCAGAATGATTTATGTTGAGTAGATAGGTAATAAATATTTGTGGTACAGATTTGAATGGACACAAATCTGTGTAGAATATTTAGACTGTAGGAGGCCATGGGAGACTGTTTAATCTCAGATCCATTATTTTATATGAGGGTTGTAAAATGACAATTTTCTAATTCTAGCATTAATTAATTTAATCTAAGCTCTGATGTCAGGTAAGTAAACATTTGAGCCATGCAGAATAGATATAACATAGATAGGACTCTGTATATCTAAAAGAACTTTAGGGACAAAGACTCCAGAACTCTTAGGACATTATTCCAGGGGGCATTTAAAAAAACTCTTACCCATACTTTATATCACTGTATTTATTTTTTTAGTCCCCTTTCTCTTCTTGTAGTCTAGTGGAAGTGGAAAAACATTCCTCTTACATATTTCTTTTTTTTCTTATTTTTGTATGCCAAGGAATATTTGTGCTTTTCCTTTTATTACTTCAAAATGGACTTGTGTTCCAAGTGTTATTTTTGGTTGCTAAAATTGATTATTATGGTTTCCCATGATTGTGTTTGCTTTAATTGCTCTTAACTGATTAAACAGCTCTGTATCAGCTTTCTGTTGCTGCTGTAACAAAGTACCACAAACTTGGTGGCTGAAAACATTACAAATACCTTACCTTGTGGTTGCGGGTCAGAAGTCCAACATGGGTCTCAGTGAGCTAAATTCCAGGTGTCGACAGAGCTGCATTCCCTTTTGGAGGCTCTGAGGAATTTTGCCTTTTTCAACTTCCACAAAGTGCCTGCTTTCCTCTTTTACTTGAGAGTCAACAACATGAATCAAGCTCCTCTCATAACATGTCACATCATCCTGACCGATTCTCTTTCTCTTGTACCATCAGTGGTTCTTGTGATTGTCTTGAGCCCACATGGCAAATTCAGGATACTCTCCCTATTTTAAGGCTGGTTGATTGGCAACCTTAATTCTATCTGCAACTTTAATTCTTCTTTGTCACATAACCTCATGCATTCACAAGTTCTGGACATTAGGATGTGGGCCATCTTTGCGAGGCTGTTATCCTGTCTGCCACAAGCTATATGTTTGAAATTTGTGTTTCTATTTGATTGCCTTTATGTACCAGATTATTCTAACATCCTTCTTGAATCTGTTCATTTGAAACAGGTCTATTTTTTTACTGATGTGATGTGGGCAGGTTAGTAAATTCATGATCATAAAGTGATGAATTGAAATCCCTTAGTTCAAGGTGGAGTATGAGAGCAAAGGATTTTTATGTCTTTATGGAAAGAAAGCATCACTTACAGCTCCTACTCTTCCTTTTGAAATGGAATAGTAGCATTTTTTTTTCAGTTGCACTGAAATGTACCAAAATTACTTTGATTATCAAACGAATACTAAGCCTCATTGCCTGACACATCTCATATGTTGAATGGTTTATTTATTATTATGTCTCATTTTGCTATGGAAATGTTCAAGAAATATTCTGAAATGTTCAAGTTAATATTTAGTGCTTTGTATACTAATATTTCAAACAATAATTTATACATGTATTTTAATATCTATCAAGTATAGACAGATATTTTCAAGTCACTTATAGGTCTGACATGCAAAATAAAAAATGAAATAATCCCTTTTTATGTTTTGGAAGTTCATATTCATATGAAATTTCTATAAAAATTGACTGAAAATTTTAGAGGACTAATTGCAGCAGTAGGAAAAAAAAACTAGTATTTCCCTAGGTTGCTGGGACTAAATATTAATGGCCAAGAGAGTCCTGCTATGATTGAAAAAGCAGGATTCCCATTTAATATGTCCTCTAGGTTCCCACATTCTTCTTTTCTGACTCTCATCCTGAGTGTTCTCACTTCTGGTTTACATTTTTAAGTTTTCACTTCTTTTATCTTCAGCTGCCAATAATTTTGCAAATATCCAATAAAATAAAAAATGAGGACTCTAATATTGAACGTTAAGACTCATACCTTATGATGTTCAGTTGACCTCTAAGATCTGAATCACATGGGAAAGACGTTATAGACGGACCACCAGTTGTGAGTGGAAGTTGAAGAGTTTTATTTTGCTATTCTTCTTGTAGGAAAGATTTCAATAAAAAGAAAAATATCGTAGCTTTACCACTACCACAAATTCTGAAGGTTTGTCTTCCAGCCAAGTGTTAGGAATCCAACAGGATTAATAAGGGTAAGGGTTTTAATTTTCATGTACTTCCCCTGTTAACCCGCATGTTCATTTCCCTGAGAGCACAATTTCACACACTCAGTATAGGCCTCTCAGCTGCACTCCCCAGGCAACAATGTGCCTCTAACTCCTCAGAGTGATTCTGGGGTTAGGGAAGAGGGGACAAAATGCTAGTGCCCTGTAAACCTTCTGAACTGGAAAGAGGCCTGGGCCAGAATGCTAGAACAGTGTTCTGGGAAAGCTCAGCCTCTGCCTGAGAGATGTAGAGAAAGATATCTAGTACTTTTGAGTTAGACCTGAGTTAAAAATTGAACATCACTA